CCCCAAAACCCCAAAACCCCAAAACCCCAAAACCCCTTCGTGTGAATAAAACTTGAATGTTTTATTTCATATCAAAAATTCTTAATGATAAGCTCTCTTTTGATTTCTCTCTGTCAACGACCCATAGTATTTACCCAGTCCTTCGATCTTGTACTTCTGCTTCTCTCTGTGTATCTAAGAGGATTATCTATAAAGTAATACCTGAGATTTTTTGAAATGCTTCATACTCTTCATCTTCTTATCGTTTAGAAGCAGCTCCTTAGACTGCCTCTCAGTGTTATTTGTGTTGAAAAATAATCCGTAATGGTGATTGTTATTCACAGAAGTTGGAAGATTGCCTATTGCACTACTTGAAGCACCTCGGATCTTGATAGATTTCAGCTGCTTTGAGCCAAGATTCGTACTTTTTCTCTCCTTGCTACCAAATCTTGGATGACTCCCATCCGAATTCTTATATCTTTCTGTTACAATATGGTTTTTAAAATTTCTTTCGTTCAGCTTCTTATCTTTGAACTTTGCCCCTTCCTTCTGTTGCACCAAGGTAAGCCCCAAAGAATCTGTATTGAACTTGGAAGTACTGACTGTTGAGAATTTCTGGGAAGAAGTATCTCTATTTTTCCTCTTAACAGAAGAATTTCCACCAGTTGTTGGTCCAACATATAAATTCCCTTTTGTTTGAGTAGGAATACTTAACTGTCCATGATGTTGTGACTGGAACCCTCTTCCCTTCCTTCTCTTCTTTGAGGAGGAATTTTTACTTCTTGTGTTGAGGTGCATGGGCTTTGAGTATATATTTTTGTAGGACTTCTGGCTCTTCATAGAATTAGGTTTACCTAGCCTTTTATCTCCTGTAAGCAACACATCCTTTGATTTTGTATGCTTGTGAGCAGTATTCATCCCGTTCATTACAAGAAGAGGATGAGAGGAATTACCTTGAGCTTGCTTTGTCAAGAATGACTGCCGAGAATCTAAAGATCATCATACTAATTTACCTCCTCCATTGAGCATTTGGTTAGTCCAAATATCTGTATTTTTCCTTTGATGGGATATAAGCTTATCTGCCAAGTTATTCCTGGTGGTTAATTTTTGATCCATAACAATTTTCTTCCTCTTTTTCACCATCCGAGGCACTTCTGATCTTTTGGTGATTATGATCCCAGGCTCAGTAGTTTTCTCTGAATTCCTTTGCTTATTACTTGTCATATCCAGGTGCCTATCTGTGCTACTAATGAAAGTCCTTCTGTCATCATTCTCTGACATCTTGAGACTTTTCAGAGACACTTTCTTACTTATCTTTGAAATGGGGTTCTGGGAGTTCTTGAGAAACTTCTGGCTTGACAGTACAGAGCTCTTGCCTGCCTTCTTCTTGTTCCTTACAGGAGAACTCTTGTCCAAGTCAAGTGAACTCTCTAGATGGATAATATCTGTCCTCTGCAAGGGTTTATTCAAGTTTATTAGCTTTATCTTTTTATTAGCCAGGTTATTGTACTCGAATACATTAACTTTTCTAGGATTTGGAGGCTTGTTCTTACCTGCAGGAGTTGTCTGAACCTGCTGTTTGTTGGATATATTACTATGATAAGACTCATTTTGATCAACAGTAAATTCAGATTTTATCAAAGACAAGTCACTATTTTCTTTATTATCCATCTCACTCATACTAAGGTTGACGGAGACTTGGCTCTGATCCACTGGACCCATGATGGAATCATTCTTAGTAAAATCTTCAACAGCTTTGACGAACTTCTGATTAATCTCTCTTTGTTTCCGTTGTTTCTCAAGCTCTTCGTCCTGCTTGAGAATAGAGTCCATAAATCTGGTAGAGAACATTTCAATCGAGCTATCGCCCAGGAGGTCTGAGAAATGTCCATTATTTTTCTTGCGCTGTCTCTGCTCAATGTTATCTAGAGCGTTTTGCTTATCGTCAATCATCCTCTGCTTCCTTTCGATATTCTTAAACATGTACTTGTTCTCTGGGAGGGTAACATAATTTGGGAATACTTTTGAATATTTTTCATAAAATTCAAAGACTTTTGGGAGTCGTTCCTTAGATTCATCAGTGCTGTAGGTCCTAGAGCAGCATGAATAATGGCATCTTACCTCTTCAAAAACTCACTCACATCGTCATAGATCAAGTAGTCCTTGAAAACAGAGACTAGGTTTGAATTCTCATTATAGATGATGTCTGTGATCACTTTTGAGTTGTAATAGTCTACCTGTTTCTGGTATAGCCTATTTAATACTGGGAACTTATTTCGGCCTTCTTCCCAAGAATTCATTATGATAAAGAAAATATATATCTCAATTTAAAGTTAGAATTAAGGGGTTTTGGGGTTTTGGGGTTTTGGGGTTTTGGGGTTTTGGGG